GTCCTTTTGCAACTGAGATATTTCACTCAGCATAATGTCCTCCTGGGTCACCCATTTTGAATAATATTGCATGAGTTCCTTGTTTTTCAATGCAGTGTAGTATTCCACTATGTGACTATACCACAGCTTCTCTGTCCATTCGTTTGTTGATGGGCACCTGGGTTGTTTCCAACTCTTTGCTATTGTGAACAGAGCTGCAATAAACATGGGTGTGCATATATCTGCTTGGGTGTCAGTTATGGTCTCTGTGGGATATATTCCCAGTAGTGGAATTGCTGGGTCAAATGGTATCTCTGTTTGCAATTTTTTGAGAAAGCGCCATACCGCCTTCTACAGTGGCTGCACCATTTTATACTCCCACCAACAGTGAATAAGGGTTCCAGTTTCTCCAAAACCTTGCCAGCATTTGTTGCTTGCTGTTCTGTTAAATTTTGCTATTCTGACTGAGATGATATCTCATAGTTGTTTTAATTTGCATCTCTCTTAGAGCTAGGGATTTTGAACATTTCTTCATGTGCTTGTTGGCCATCTGAATGTCTTCTTTGGTGAAGTGTCTGTTCATATCCTGTGCCCATTTTTCAATTGGATTATTTACCTTTATCTTGTTGTGGTGCTCAAGTATTTTATAAGTTCTAGATATAAGTCCCGTATCTGACATGTCATTACCAAATACTTTTTCCCAGTCTGTGGCTTCCCTTTTTACCCTGTTGGAGAAGTTTTTGGATGTGCATAGGGATTTGATTCTTAGGAGGTCCCATTCATCTCTTTTATCTTCTCCTGGTTGTAGAATTTTCAGGATACTTGGAAGACTGTTTATGTTCTGGATTAGGACTGCTAGAGTTCTTCCAAGCTTTTCTTTAATGAAGTTTATAGTCCTTGGTTTTAGTCCTAGGTCCATGATCCACCTTGAGTTGGTTTTTGTATATGGAGTGAGGTGTGGATCTTGCTTGAGTAGGATTTCTTACTATTTTTAAAAATAAGTTTTACAGTCAGATAAGAGTCTGAGAAATCCACAGGGCAGTCCTGCTAGCTTTATGACAGTGATCAGAAAAACCCCTGCTGGGGGTGGGAACCCATCTTCTTACAAGATAACAGGAATAAAGTGGAAAGCAATTCAGAGTCTCTGCAGACAGACAGCCTTAAAAGAAAAGTTCAAAATGCCTTGAGCTTGATTGCTTCATTAAGATATGAGAGCTTCAATAGTAATTAAAAAAAAAACAACTAAAACTGTTTGCTGTCAAGTCGATTCAGACTTACAGTGACCCCCTTAAAGAAATAAAACAAAGCCTTTATTTTGAAACAAGTTTAGACTTACCGAGAAGTTACAGAAATAGTACAGCAAGTCTATAGGGCCCTGACTCAACTTCTAGTGTTAGCAGTGGCAGAAAAGAATTCAAACTAGAAAATTCACATTAGTCCACCACTGTGCACTAAACCAGAGAATTTGAAAAAACTTTTCATCAGTACCCTTTTTCTGCCCCAGGATCCTGTCAGCATCCTGCCTAGGATCTCACGTTGTATCCAGTTGGTATGTCTCTTGAGTCCCTGGTCTATGACCTGTCCTCAGTCTGCTGCATCTCTTGTAACCTTGACGTTTTGGGGAGCTCTGTTGAGGCTCTCTGAGCGGCCTGTCTGATGTTTTCTCATTGTTCCTGGAGTACACAGTTCATGCTGCGTCTTCCTCAGTCCACCCTATCCAGCATCTGTGATGCTTATTTGTCATTGATGGTGGTCTCAGCCACCTGGTGGAGTGATTTCTGCTGGGTTTCTCCACTGTAGGGTTAACAATTGGAAGACCTTGGTTGGTGCAAACAGCTAATGAGCTTAACGGATAACCCAAGGGTTGTAGGTTCCAGTTCACCTCGTGGTTTCTCAGGAAGAAAAGCCCTTGTTGTCCACTTCTAAAAGCTCAGCCATTGAGAACTTTATGGAGCACACTTGGACTCTGATGCCCTAGGGTCACCGTGCATCTGAATGGTCTCAACAGCAACTGTGTATCATTGATTTGCTACTAAAACTCTCCTTAGGGAGCTCTGCTGGTCTAGCAGGGAAAGACTTGTGCTACCAACACAGACACGTGCAGTTGGATCCACCAGCTGCTCCAAGGGTGAAAGATGGGCAGTTTCTTCACGGGCAGTGTAGGTCTGCAGCCTCAGAAAACCTGCTGGAATATCAGTCAGCTAGGAGTCCGTTCTGCTCACGGGCACATAAAAACAACTAAAGCTCTCATTTCAGTGACACTCACCTTATTGCCATGGATCAGAGAGACCTCATAAGTGACCTTCCTCTGGGGTCTCGAGGCCGCAAATCAGCGGAAGGAGGTGGCCCATCTTTCTCCCTCAGAGCCGCTGGTCACTTCATCCACAGAGAGATTCTGCCTTTGGGCTGCAACCCCTGTGGAGTAGGCCGTGGGGATTTGTGTTGCCAACCCAAAGGCCTCACCTTTCTGCTGGTTCGGATCCACCAGAGACTCCTTGAAGAGAAGTTGGACAGTCTCCTCCCGTGTGATTGACAGTCTTGGAAACCCAGGGGAGGGTCAGCTGTGAGCTGGTTCTGACTTGCTTGTCATGAGGAAGTGAGCGATGCAAACCTGTCTTGAGTTTTGCTTTGTCTCTTTCAGAACCTCAGACGTGAGTTTTGCCCCGTGTTTGATGCTGTGGCAAGCCTCACGGAGGTGTCTTCTTTGGAAATGATGACAGTGGTTGGTGGGGGTAGGGGGAGCTTACTTTCTCAAATGCTCGCAATCCCTGAGTTAATTTGCATGAGAGAATGGCAAATGTGGGTTTTTTTGCTTCTGGATTCAACAAGCAGCAGTCATGGACAGTGTGGCCTTGAAGGAGCCTAGGCAACCCCAGATTCATTCAGAACTCTTTCTCCAGCTCATTTCCGTTACATCAGCTCTACGTGTTAAGCGTTCTCTCTCTTCCCCCAGCACCTCCCTCCCCAGCGGTCCGGCCAGCAGCGCTGGGAGCGTCCCCGCCAGCGTACCCGTGCAGATGCCAAAGCCCAGCAGGGTCCAGCAGGCCCTTGCAGGTAGGCCTCTTGCCCTCAGGTTCGGGAACAAATTGCCTATGTGGTGAACTTGGTGTGGGGATGGGAGGCACAGGGGGGCTTTGTGCGGCAGGGATGTGCTGACCTAGGGGAGTAGATCTGGTCATGATGGGCCAGACATCCCTCCTTGGGCTCTCCAGTGGTGGGTTTCTGGGGGTGGGCCTTTCTCTGCCTTTTTAATTGTTATGTATCACTGAGTACTGTTGAAAAAAGCCACATTTCTTTCTGGAGATGTTTATAGCATTTACTTCCTGGGACCCTTGAGGAATCCACAGAATCATACTGGCCTTGGTTACATCTCAAATAAGTTACTTTTTACCCACTGAGATGGTTTATTAACTATACATATTGGAGCTGTTTCTAAAAATCCCTTGACAAGCATGAGAGAGCCACTGCAAGTTGTCCTTGTAACTGTTACTTAAAAATATGCAGAGGAAGACAGAACAGTGTTGTGAACTTCCAGCTTTTAAAGATTGTAAAATGAAGAGAAAAATCAGTTTGTGTTTGAGGAGTCACACTGGTGATACAGGGTCGATTAGAGGGGACAAGGCTGGAGGTGGGGAGGCCAGTGTGGAGCCCTGATCCGAAGCCAGGGCAGTGAAGGTGGGAGCTTCTGGTCAGGTGGTCAGGCTGCTTGTGAGAGGAGGAGGCACGGAGTCAGGGCTGCTGGCATCCATCTGAGGTGACACTGCTACGGTGGTGATGATAGTGAGGGGTCTGCACCATGCTGTTCCATCCTCAGCATCCTCTGTGAGGCAGGTACTGTTACTCTCACTTTACATCTGAGGAAACTGAGGCTCAGTGAATTTAAACAACTCGCCCCAGGCCTGATAACTAGCACTTGGTGGAGTTGGGATTCCTGCTGGCATGTTGACCTCAGGACGCAGCTCCTCCCATCCCTCTGCGGCTCCCGGATGCCGTGGCAGAAGGGTCATGACTGCTGTAGATGCTGCTGTCCAGGAGTGGAAGTGTGGGGCTCAGAAGAGGGATCTGGCCTCTGTCTGTGGAGGCAGTGGACACCATGGCAGGATATGAGTGCCCGTGGAGCCGGAGGGGAGGGAAGGGACCAGCAGGGTGCTGGCCGGTGGGGCAGCTAAGGAGGTGGCAAAAGAAGGCGTGCTAACAAAGGAAAAAAGAGCATCACAGTCTGGGCAGGGTGGGGCTGGGCAAGCCACAGGGAACGCTGTGTCCAGCAGCCTCTTGAACCTGCTCCAGCTGCTGAGCCGTTAACCTCCGCTGGGCCAGAAAAGGGCGTGAGTGCTGGAAACTGCTGCCTAGTTCAGGTCTGTGGTGTCAGATGGTGAAGGTGAATTTTCAGCTCTAAGAGTTGAGGGTGTTGTGTCTGGAGGTTAGTGGAGAAGGAGTTGGAGCCCAGATTGTGAGTAACAGGCCTGACCCCACATTCCTGCCGAGGGTCTGGGAGCAAAGTGAGCCCTGTGTCCCAGGAGGGAGCCTAGCATGGGTGGCAGGTCCAGCTGCGTGTGCTCACTAAGGCTTGAATACACGTGTAGAGAAGCTTTCTGAATGAGTCTTAGAAATGGTCTGGGTGATGCCACTCCCCACCTTACCACCTGGGCTAACACTTTCACTCTTTTTTCCCTGCCTTTATATTTATTTATCCAAAATATTTTACTGTGTGTTCGGTGAAGGTTTACACAACAGTTTTGATTCCTGTCCAGCAAATTCTGTACTGATATTTGGTTACATTCTCTATTGTGTAAACAGTCCCACTTTTTTCCCCTTTCTGGTTCCATTGCTGTTAGTCTCTTTTCCCTGGGTCCCTGTATTCTCATCTTTGTTTTAAAGTTATTGACCATTTGGTCTAGAGTAGGTGAAATTTTTGTTTCTTTTTTTGAGTAGGTAAATTTTTAAAGGTGCACAGCCCTTAGGGTGATATTTTTTTAGTTGATTTGTTATTTGACTACAGGAGTTAGTTTTGGTTCAAGGTTTGAAGAGTATCTTGGAGCCTTTGTCTCCAGGAGTCCTCCAGTCTCAACCAGTTAAGTAGTTTTTTTGGTTCTGTAGAAATTTTCTTAAGAAACATGAGGTTCACATTTCCATTTCTCTCCCCATCTTTCAGGGGTCTGTCTTCTGTGGTCGTTGGTAGCGCTTGCTGGGCGTCACCTTATTCTTCTGCTCTGAAAGGTGCGAAGGCCGTGGTCTGTATGGACTCATGTCCTCTGAGTCCTTGGTTTCTCCTTTGCTTTTGTTCCAGGTGAATGGAAAGCAGTTCACCAATAGGTGTGTCTTAGATGACCACTCACAAACCTTGAAGACTCCAGACACTCCCCGTCAAAGTCATTCTGTAGAAAGCAACATTGTTGTTGTCATTACTTTATAAGCAGTCATAACACAAGGTTGTAAGTTACTGGTATAGCTTCATTGAGAATGTAACTTTATGAACCATATTATGCCAGTTGACCAAGATGTTCCTCAAGACACTGGTCCTAATCCTTCAAACCCAGAATTGCAGTCCTGCAAGACATTTGGTTATATCTAACAAGTACCCGAAACTGTGTCCCCCCCATATGTTTTATTATATGCGCACATGTATATTATCTGAATATGTATGCCTGTGGACACATCAGTACATATACACGTGCATATCCCTGCATGCACGGGTATATACATGTCTGTACACATGTACATATGTATTCATATACACACACATGTTTTATAGTTGTTTTTGCTATTGCTTAAAAAAATAGCAATTAGACTCCAAATATAGTTAAAGAAAAAAAAGCTTTTAGTAATGACAATGATTTTGCAAAATGGGAAATATAATGCCAAAGAATCCCGGCTGTTGTCTCCAAGAGCTGTTCATTTGCACAGACTTCTAAAGATAAGCAAGAGGTACAGCTAAATGCTTGTGATGAGTAGTATTTACAGAACTCAGGGGTTAGGACAAGGTTATAGAAACACCCAAGGTTTTGTAAAGACTCAGGCACAGTTAGAAAAAAACCCAACAAAAATCCATTTTTTAAACAGTGGAGTCACAAAAGGAATATTTTCTGAGAATCGCCAGACCACTGAAGTCACATGCTTAACACCTGTACACACCAGGAGCCTGACAAAACCACACTCATCAGCATTACCCAGTTCTGATCTGCACAGTATTTTGTAAAACTTTGTGACTTCCTGTCTGAAGCACAGTGAGACTCAACAAGAAAAAGGAGTCTAGAGGCCTGTAACCGGCTCAGAAGCTTTAGTCCTGTCGAGCTCCCTGAGTTCCAGGATATTCTTTCCCAGACCCGTCACCTGCTCTCAGGGAGATTTCTTGACCTCTGCCTGTTCTTAGGGTCGCTGTGAGCCATATAATTAGCTTGATAGCACCTAACGACTTCGATAGGTATTGGTTCTGAATCCAGGTAGCGTGAAGTCCTTGACCACTTCAGTCTCTTCTTCATTTATGATGATGGGCCTTTTGATCGAATTTTGCGGATATTTGTTAATTATGTTGAGACAAAACCTTCAGTATAGATTATGTTTGAGCTGAAATTTAGAAAAATTGTCACAACCTGACCAAGGGGCGTCATACCATGATAAATGGAGAAAAAAGTCAAAATGGCCAGGCATTTAGTTTTACTTAGATCTACAGTCAGTAAGTACAGCAGGCAGGAAATCAGAAGTTATGTTGCTTTGGGCAGATCTGCTGCCAAGGACCCCTTTAAAGTAAGGAAGAGCAAGGATGTCAATTTAAAGACTAAGGTGCACCTGATCTGAGGCATCGTTCTTTTATTTGCTTCATATGCTTGTGAAAAGTGGATAATGAATAATAAGAACGAAGAAGAATTGATACCTTTGAATTGCAGTGCTGATGAAGAGTCTTGAATATGCCGTAAGCTGTTAAAGAACAAAGAAATCTGACTTAGAACAAGCAGAGCTGGGTGCTCCTTAGAGGCTAGGATGGTAAGACTGTCCCACATGCTTTGGGCATCTTATCATTAGGGGCCAGTGCTTGGCAGGAGACCTCGTGCATGGAAGGATGGAAGGTCCTCAACAAGATGGAGTGGCCCAGCGGCTGCAGCAGTGGCCTTCAGGTAGTGAGGATGTGAGGATGGTCCAGGTTTCAGCTTCATACACGGGATCGCCGGGAGTCGGGTGACTCGACAGCACTGACAGTAACTGCTCTGAGGGAGAAAGGTAACAGTCGTCTGCTTCTGTCCAGAGTTATACAGCCTCGCACAGGGCTGCTCTGTGCTGGGGGGATTGCTGTGAGTTGGAGTTCACCCAGCGACAGTGGCCTTAGTTTGTGGTTTACTGGAAGATGAGAAATAGTCCCCCAAAGTTGAGGGCCTTAGCCTCCAGCTAGGAGGTATTAGAGGGGGGACAAGATCCTGCAGCAGATTGCCACCTCATCTGAACCCAAGGCTCTTTGATTTGGACCTGGTGGTGGGTCCTTGTCTAGGGCATCAGGCAGTGAGGGGATCAGAGCACATGCCCCACAAACATAGTCTAGAGACTGCCCGTTCTCTCCCTGAACAGTCTTTATGGAAAGTGCCACAGCCACGGCAAGGTGAGGGGATGGCCATAGAGTTAACATAGGTGGGTTTACAAGCAAGTGGTCATTTTGTGGAAGGACTTGTATACCCTTTACCGAGATGATGCATAAGGCAGGTGTGCAAGTGACTGCTTCACTGGCTGATGCAGGCCCAGCCTTCTCTCTGCGGGGTGCAGGCAGGGAGAATCCTGGCCAGGCAGAGGCCTGCCATGTCCTACCCCACCACCTGCTCTGCCTGCCCTGGAGGAAGGAAGGAGCTGCACGACCTGCCCGAGACCATTCGGACCATAAGCAGCAGTGCAGGTCTTTGAGTCAGGTGTTGAAGTCTGAGTGGAAGGAGAATTGGCTTAGACCCTAAACCCCTGTCTACTAGTCAAAAGATGGACCCATGGTTAGAACGGGGGTGTTTGGCAATTGGAGCCCGAGAGTCTGCTTCATCCTCCAGACGTCTGCCGGGTAACGTGGAGACCCCTTAGATGGTGCGGCTGTCCAAAGGGTTGAGGTTATCTGACGGTTGTTGGGAGTGTTGGGGCCTGACCCTGAGACTTTGCAGCTGAGGAAGGAGTACTGGCTCACGCCCGGTGTTCTCCCTGCCATCTTACACGCTTAATGCTATCTGGTGAACTGCTTGTTGGGTGTGGGTCATGTTCAGCCTTTCATAAGATCTGCCGCTAGAGCAAGTTGCTCTTTCTCTAGGCTTTCAGCTTAGGTGAGTGATTCTACATGGTGAATGTGTTAGAAGAAAAAGAAAGAATAAACGAGATAGAGTTGGGAGGGAGGGAGGATGTCTCTGTCCCCGCCCTCTCAGAGGCTGGCTCTGAATCTCACCTCTTGAGCACCAGCTGCAAGTGCAGTGTTTCTCTGAGAGGCCTTCACACCAGAACTAGGTCAGATTTCACCAAGTTACAGGTTTCAGTCCTTGAAGCTACTAAGTCAGCCAAAAACTCTCATCCAGCCACAAGCTTGGAGGTCCCCAGCTCCCCAGATTCCGACCTACTGATATAGATCGGGGTTCTTTCCACTGCCCAGTCAAGTGCACATGGCACTGTCACTTTTGTCCTCTAGCTACCCCTCTGGATATCAGCCAGAAACTCCGGCTTCCTACGCCCCTCATGTCTCTGTCAGGTCTGAGGCTTCACTGACCATTGAAACTCAAAAAAGCTGCTATCACAGATGGGATACAAATGAAGAGACTCTTGGAGCAAGGTTGCGGAGAGTCCCATGTGGGGCTTCTGTGTCCCAAGAAATAGACCCATGGGTCTCCCAAGCCAGGATATCTTACACCAGACAGGGAGCTCACCAAACTGCTGTGCTGAGGTTTTATTGGATCCTGGTCACGTAGGGGTGTGGGATTGCATCATTGTGGACCTGCCAGCTCCCATGCACATCTCAGTAGCATAACCTGGCAGGTGCCTCTGGCCTGGCATCCCTTCATGGCTAACAGAGCCTTCCATGTGTGTGTGAAATTCCAGGTGTCTGCAGGAAGCCATGTTAGGCTGCTAACTGAAAGGTCATGAGTTTGAATCCAGGGCTTTGCTGTAGAGCAGTGGGCACTATGCTCCTGTAAGGATTTACTGCCGTAGAAATACAGCCGAGGGTTGGCGTCAACTTGGGTGCGGTGAATCCAGATTACCCAGGTGCCCTTCCGGCACGGTGGACTGTGCTGGGCTGCTAACAAAAAGGCTGATGGCTTGTACCCACCGGGTACTCCACAGGGGAACGATGTAGCAGCCTGCTTCCTTAGAGAGTTCCTGCCTAGGAAAGCCCGTGGAGCAGTCAGTCAGCTTTGCCCTTTAGGGCTGCTGGGAGTCAGCATCAACCTGACGGGAGGGAGTTACAGGTTACCTAAGCAGCCTGGTGGTGCTCTGGTGATGCACTGGCAGCAGTTCGAATCCAGCAAGCACTCGGTGGGAGAAGGATGTGGCAGTCAGCTTGGGTGGAGATTTACAGCCTTCGGGATCCCACGGGCAGTTCAGCCCTGTCCTGCGGGTCACTGTGAATCATCTCCATAGCAGCAGGTTGGGTTAGAGGGTGTTTGCAGGAACCAGAGACAGAGACCAGGTCCTTTACCACATCTTACTATTTGGGGTAGGTGGTCAGGGCAGACCCCTCTGGGAAGGTGCTCCTTGAGAAGTCTGAAGGAACGAGGGGGCTTGCAGGTACTGGGGAGATCACCCTGGCTCGAGCTTACAGAGGCCCGGGGTTCGCTTCAGGAGCACACATCTGCGCCCATTATCTCCTGCTCACTGCTACCTGTACCTGCTTAGCATTCTGCTCACCTGTCCGCACTTCCTGGGAGAAGCACTTGCTCCCAGAACATCCTTGCGCTTGGGGTGGTGGTGCATTAAGCGGAGCCCCGCCAGAGCACAGGGAGCCTGCCTGGAACTCGGTTGTCTGCTGCCTGTTTTGTGTCCTGCCGAGTGGCCACCACCATGTGACCAGGCACAGAGTTGCCTGTATCACCCAGCTTCTGGCTGGCCTCTGCTGCTTTCCCTGAGCTGAGTGCATTTGTTGCTTTGGGAGCATTTCTCCTTCCTGTGGAGGTACATGGCTGGCCCTGGAGGGTCCCAGTCCCCCCCCACCACCACCACAACTGACACAGAGGCTGCTGTACCTGCTGTGACCTGTTTGTGGAGGGGGAAACCAGGTGTGTGGCATTGTCACTTCCTGTCCCAGGCTCCCTCCTGTGTCTGGGCCTGTCTGGATTCTGCGGGTTAGGAAAGCCCCCCTCAGGGAGACCGTCTAGGGGAAGCCCCGAGTTCCCATTCCCCTGGGGAGGAGGTGCTTTGAGCCACAGACTGATGCAGGAGGATTTTGGCAGCTGTCACTGGACAGCAGGGTCAGGAGACCGTGCTGTATGTGTGGGCACCATGAGCGCCCCGGGAAAGCAGAGCAGCGGGGGTGCAGGTCTTCTCTGTGCATGGGAATGTGGCCTCCACCCTGCTGGCATGGGGGCACAGAGACCTGAGGAGGGCTGAGAAGTGGAAGCTTCCGAGACCCCCATGATGCCCAGGAGACTTTCCTCCTGCCGCATGGCAGGAAGGCTGTTTGAGCCTGGAACACTGTTAGCAGAGAAGGAAGCCACAGCCTGTGACCTTTGCTGCTCCAAAGAAGAGACCACAGTCCTGGAGGCCGTGGCCTTGCTGTGACCGGATGGGGGACGTTAGATTTCCTGTGGTCAAAGCAGACAGTACTGCATGGCCACAGAGTGATCAGGAGCCCAGCAGCACACAACACAACACAGTGACCTTGTGAAGTCACCCTGCCAGTGGGCCTTGTCGTTTCGCTGTTCCCTTCTGTCCTCCCTCTCTTGGCCAGCATGGGAAGATACCGCCCACAGATGTGTGGGTTTCCTGGGCTTGCTGAAGCCAGCGACCTTGCCCGCCAGTGTGGCCTCGACACTCATGATGAGATGCCTGGGGGTCACCCTGGAGACCCATAGGCCGATGCCTCTCCCAGCCTGGCTGATTTGGAAGTTCTCCAGGCCCTGACCTGCAGCTCAGCTTTGTGGCCTGGGTCACTCCGGACTGCTTGGAAGGCCCAGCCTCTCTGGGGAGGTTTGTGGGTCCTGAGAGCCCTTGTGCGGCCGCCGCCCCAGACTCACCTGGGTTTATTGATGTCATGTGCTGAATTGACGCCCTTTAACGTTTCTCCCCTCTCTGCATGTCTGATCTCGCTCCGTGTAGGCATGACGAGTGTTCTGATGTCAGCCATTGGACTCCCTGTGTGTCTTAGCCGCGCACCCCAGCCCGCCAGCCCTCCCGCCTCTAAAGGTCACAGCTCAGTTAAGAGATTGAGGAAAATGTCCGTGAAAGGTAGTTCTATTTGCAAACGCTCCCCGGCCCCGGCCCCTGCTAAGCCTCCTCCACACCTTGCTGCCTCTGACTCCTCCTGCATCGGTGACTTGCCCTGTAGCTCCTCCTCGGCCTTCTCTCTGTCCTTGGCCTCTCAGGGCGACGGCTTTCTTTGTCCCTTCTTCCAGCCTTCTGCTGCGGGGGTGGCCCCTGGGGAATCCTTATTTCCTCTGAGAGCCTGAGCCCAGGTCTTAGCTCTGGGCACTGTTTGAATGAGGGGCTTTTCTTGAGGGTCCTGTCACTTTGTAGACACACAGTCAGGGGGAAGAGACTTTGGGCCGACCATAGGCTCGAGATCGGGGAACAACTTTGTCCCCTTCCATAGAAGCTAAGTACTTCAGAAGAGCTAGGGTCTGATCCTGCTCTCCTTGGCCTCCAGCCCTGCCTGGCCCCTTTGGGGCCACTGCAAAGGGGTTCCTTGATGACCACCACTCTGTGTCCTCCGTGGCCAGCAGGAGGGATTGAGGCTGGGGAGGTGTGCGGGGTGCTCACAGGAATCACATGAGGTGTACGTTAGGATCTGTCCAGAGTTACCAGTAATTTAGCACCATCATGTGGCCATAGCCGTGCAGAAGCAGAAAGCCCTGGCGGCCATCAGGACAGTGACACACGGAGCAGGACTTCACACTTGCCCGTCCTGCGTCTGGGGCTCGGTTCCATCACATACCCATTCTGGCCAGCCGATTGCTCCCCTGACTTGGGCACCACCTCCTTACAGATGGTTGTGTAAGGGGTAGGAAATCTATACCAGAAGCTTTTGGCACACAGCAATGGCAACTGCATCTGCTCAACACCCATCTCCTGCCCTGGGGCACAAGACGGGGTCCTAGGGAGGGTTTTAATTAGGCAGCAGTCAAAGGCTTGACACGCTCCTTTCTTCCTGTGCCTTGGAGGTGGAGACGGGCACTGTGGGCAGGTAGGCAGCCCTGCCCAGGAAGAACACGGCAGTTACTCCTTTCAGTTGATGGTTCCCAGGCTGGTGAAAGTACTTACAGTGCAAGAATCACCAAGAGGGTGGGCCTTGGAGTGCTGGCCTCACCGGAGCTGGGCCAGGAGTAACTCTGGGCAGATAGAGTCTTGGAGTTCATCTGGACACTGGCTTATAGCCACCAGGCCATAAAATATCCCTCCCCTGAACTCACACACAGCTGCTCAGACCAAGACAAGATGACCACTCTGTGCCAGTCAGGGATTGTGTTTTGGCCTGGCTTTCTCAGACAGGGTGCTTGAAGAGAAGGGGAGAGATAGGGAGGGAGGGAGAGAGAGAGAGGGGGGGG